GACTTGGGGTTTTGAGAGAGTTTTGGGGGGTCTGGGGGGGGTGGGCAGGGTTTTGAGGGGGGATTTGGGGGGGCTGGAACTGGATTTTTGGGGTGCCAGAGCCGTGTGTGTGGATTTTGGGGACCCCCTGAGCCCCCCCAGGTTCAGGGTCAGGTTGGGGGGACTGGAGGGAGTTTGGGGGGGCTGGGCAGGGTTTGAGGGGGGATTTTGGGGGCTGGAACTGGATTTTTGACATTTTTGGCCGCCAGAACCGCGCGCGTGGATTTCCGGTGCCCGCGTGTGTTTGTGTGCATTTTTGGGGAGCCACAACCACACGTGTGGGTTTTGGGGACCCCCGGGGGACGCTTTGGGGTCCCCCTGAGCCCCGTTTTGCCCCCCAGGTTCAGGATGAAGTGCCACCTGTGCGTGAACCACATCGAGCTGCAGACGGACCCCGGGAACTGCGACTACGTCATCGTCAGCGGCGCGCGGCGCAAGGAGGAGCGCTGGGAGCCCGGGGACTGCGGCCAGGTGCTGCCCGACGGTGAGCCCCAGTATGGACCAGTATGGCCCAGTATGGACCAGTAACCTCTGCCAGTCCCAGAATCACAATCCCGGTCCTCCCAGTCCATCCCAGTCCATCCCAGTGCCCCCAGGGTGCTGTACTGGCGCTGGGAGCCCGGGGACTGCGGCCAGGTGCTGCCTGATGGTGAGCCCCAGTATGGACCAGTATGGACCAGTATGGACCAGTAACCTCTGCCAGTCCCAGCGTCACAATCCCGGTCCTCCCAGTCCATCCCAGTCCATCCCAGTGCCCCCAGGGTGCTGTACTGGCGCTGGGAGCCCGGGGACTGCGGCCAGGTGCTGCCTGCCTGGCCACGGACGCCGTGTTCCGCCTGGAGCACGGCGTGTGCTGGGCCCTGTCACCCCCAGTGTTCCCAGTCCCTCCCAGTAACCCCAGTATGCCCGTGTTGCAGCCCCGGAGCAGCAGCAGCGCCTGGCCACGGACGCCATGTTCCGCCTGGAGCACGGCGTGTCCGACCGGGGGGTCCTGGAGCGCGCCGCCCCCACCCTGACGCGCCTGCAGGAGGCCCAGAGCGCCTGGAAGGACGACTTCGGCCTCAACAGCCGCCTCAGGAGGAGGTTCCGGGTCAGTGCGGGGTCTGGGGACCCCCGAATCCACAAAAAACCACCCCCAAATCCACGAGAAAACACCCCCAAATCCACGAGAAAACACCCCCAAATCCACTAGGAAACACCCCAAAATCTCCTAAAAACCCTCCTCGAAATCCACTGAAAAACCTCCTTGAAATCTACTAAAAAACCTTCTCGAAATCCACTAAAAAATACCCCCAAATCTAATAGAAAACACCCCCAAATCCACTGAAAAACCTCCTCGAAATCACTAAAAAATCTCCTTAAAATCCACTGAAAAACCTCCCCAAAATCCACTAAAAAACCTCCTTGAATTCCATCGAAAAACCTCCCCAAAATCCACTAAAAAATCTCCCCGAAATCTACTAAAAAACCTCCATGAAATCCACAGAAAAACCTCCTCGAAACCCACTGAAAAACACCCCAAAATCACTCCCAAATCCACGAGAAAACACCCCCAAATCCACGAGAAAACACCCCCAAATCCACTAGGAAACACCCCAAAATCTCCTAAAAACCCTCCTCGAAATCCACTGAAAAACCTCCTTGAAATCTACTAAAAAACCTTCTCGAAATCCACTAAAAAATACCCCCAAATCTAATAGAAAACACCCCCAAATCCACTGAAAAACCTCCTCGAAATCACTAAAAAACCTCCTTAAAATCCACTGAAAAACCTCCCCAAAATCCACTAAAAAACCTCCTTGAATTCCATCGAAAAACCTCCCCAAAATCCACTAAAAAATCTCCCCGAAATCTACTAAAAAACCTCCATGAAATCCACAGAAAAACCTCCTCGAAACCCACTGAAAAACACCCCAAAATCACTAAAAAAATCCCCAAATCTCCTAAAAAACCTCCTCGAAATCCACTGAAAAACTTTCTCGAAATCCAAATAAAAACACCCCAAAATCCACTAAAAAACACCCCAAAATCCACTAAAAATCACGCCCAAATCCACTAAAAAACCTCCTCGGAATCCCCTAAAAAACCTCCACTAAATCCCCAAAAAAGCCTCCTCTAAATCCCCCCTTAAATCACCTAAAAACCTCCCCAAAATCCCCTAAAAATCTCATATAAATCCCCCCTTAAATCCCCTAAAAAACCCTCCTAAATCCCCTAAAACCCTCCCTGAAATCCCCTAAAAAACCTACCCTAAATATTTCCTAAAAACGTCCCCCAAATCCCCTAAAAATCCCCTAAAACCCCTCCTGTAAATCCCCTAAAAACGCTCCCCCAAATCCCCCTTGCCGACTCCACCAGATCCCCAAAAAAAAAACCCCAAAAAAACGAAAACCCCCCCAAAAAAACCCACAAAACCCCCCC